ATGTCTGTTAGCTAGTGTATGTGTGTCTGTCAGTGAGTGTGTATGTGTATCCCTTCTGTCACTCCCTCACTGTAGCGTGGCCGAGCCCAGTATAGTCCGCGGGTACACGGAGCATCTGTCTCCTGTACCCGGCCGGACTAACAGGAAGTGCACACTCAGTGTTCACTTCCTGTTAGTCCGGCCGGGTACAGGAAACAAAAGCTCCCTGTACCCGCGGACCATGATACAGCGCTCGGCCACGCTACAACTGAGGTGGGGGGGAGGGGGGAAGAGTGACGAGGGAGGGAGGGGGAGAAAGTGACAAGGAAGGAGGGGGGGAGAGATGGACAAGGGGAGGGAGGGAGTGGGGAGAAAGAGGACAAGGAGGGGAGAAAGTGACAAGGAGGGAGGGGAGAAAGAGTGACTCCAGGGAGGAGGGGGGAGAAAGCGACAAGGGAGGAGGGGGAGAGAGTGATCTAGGGAGGGAGGGGGAGAAAAGAGTGACAAGGGAGGAGGGGGGGAGAGAGTGACCCAGGAGGGGGAGAAAGAGTGACAAGGGAAGGAGGGAGGGGGAGAGAGTGACAAGGGAGGGAGGGGGGAGAGAGGACGAGGGAGGAAGGGGAGAGAGTGACGCAGGGGAGGGAGGGGAGAAAAGAGAGTGACAGGAGGGAGAGAGGGGGGGAGAAAAGAGTGACAAAGGGAGGGAGGGGGAGAAAGACAAGGAGGGAGGGAGGGGAGAAAGAGAGTAACAAGGGGAGTGGGGAGGGAGGGGGAGAAAGAGAGTGACAAGGGAGGGAGAGAGGGGGAGTGACAAGGGAGGGAGGGAGGGAGGGGGAGAAAGAGAGTGACAAGGGAGGGAGGAGGAGAAAGAGAGTGACAAGGGAGATTGACATCCATCACACACACACAATCGCACAATCATGCAAACCTTACACACACAGAAACACATAATGCATTCCTTACACACACTAAATGCACCCCGTACACACACTCAATGCACCCCTTACAGACGCACACACTGCATCCCGTACATACACAGAAACACACCTTGCAGCCCTTACACATACAAACACAGATTTACACAATGCATTCCTTACACACATATCAGGACATCCCCTACACACTCCACCCCCTGTGAACAAACTCATTGGTGGAACATGAAGGTGGACCCTGGGACCCAGACCTTGAGCTGTGTAAAGGGCCCCCCAAAAAATGGAGCTGCTTCCCGTTCTCCCAGAACATTGATTTTTGTGACCACAGTTACAAACAGCCTCCAGAGAGCCTGTTCTACACCAGACCAGTGGAGCCAGACTGCAGCTAGAGCCCATCATCATCCTCATCTGGTTGTAAGTAGGCAATCTATCATATTATTCGTGGCACTAATCTCTAATTTACATGGAAAGGGGTTCTCATATAAATGGAAGGGGTAGAGACGGGTAGTAAAATGTATGGAATGCATTTCTGAAAGTGTCACTGAATGGCAGTTAGGAAATGTGGTCACCCTAAGTCAGGAGCAGTATTACACAATCTGTATATGTATAAAAAAATATAAAAAGTAATCTGCAAAGTACAACATGTTTGTGTCATATGTCGTGCTAAAAATTAAGCTAGGAATGTGCATATTTTTTTATTTTTTTAAAATAATTTTTAGAATAATGATACAGACATTTTATTTCTTACATTTGTGATGATTCTTTTTTCCTCTCTATATTCAAGGGACACTATAGTCACCAGAACCACAACAGCTAAACGTAGTAGTTCTGGTGTCTATAGCATGTCTTTGCAGGCTTTTTAATGTAAGCACAGCCATTTCGTAAAAAGGCAGTATTTACATTACTGATGAGGAATACCTCCAGTGGACACTCAGATGGCCACTAGAGGTGCTTCCTAGTCGAGACATGAATGCCGCCCTATGAAGTATCTGCGCATGTGCGGCAAAGCTGCGCATGCACACCAGAGAGCAATGACGCTTCTGAATAGAAGAGTTTTATTGCTATCTGCGCGCACCCTCCTATTTCGTTATTTTGACGAAATAGGGGGCGCAGCATCAGGAGGATCCCGGTGCTGTATCCAGGTAAGTAAAATCCCTTCCCTGTAGTGACCCTTTAAAGTTATTATTTAATCATTTATATAGCAACTGCAAATTCCGTAGCGTTGTGCAATGGGATAAACAACTCATAGTTTACGGAATAAGAATATACCCGGCGAGTAAAAATGCTATCCCCCCCAGATTTTTTGGGGTTCCTACGCCCATGTACACACTAGCTAACAGACACACACATTTACTGACAGACACACACTGACACACACACACTGACACACACACACTAACACACACTCTAACACACACAGACACACACACTATAACACACACACACACGTTTCTTTTTTTTTTTAAATTTAATCCCCCCAGTCTCCCTACCTTTGGGAGTGCTGAGGGGATTCCCTGGAGTCCAGTGGTGTCACCCGGCAGCCGGTCCTGCGGGCAGGCCGGCGGGCGCGCGAGGGAGAACTCTCCCCTGAGTGCTTCCTGTTCAGCTCCCTCGCGTGCCGCGTACTGATGCCAGAGCAGGTGACCGGCTGCTGGGCCCCCCAGGAGAAGAGGCTGGCCACAGTGGGTACATACCAGGTCGCAGTAAGATTCTTTAACATTGTCCCCCACCCACATCAATTGTTGAAGTGAGTGTGGACTGAATGGGTTGGGGTGAATAATACTAGTTTGACTGAATGACTTGGAGAGTTAAAAAAGGGATGATGAGCATGATTTAAATAAAACCGAAACAGTGGAGATGAGATTTATGTGTTGAAAATGCCCATCATCATCCATTTTTAAACACTTCAAGTCATTTTTTATAATTCTTTATTTTTGTGTGCACATGTTTTACATAGCATCTTTCAATGCCCCAACAGCACTGATCAGGCAGTTAATTAGACATTTACAAGTTACAAGGCATTTGAGTATTCTGCACATTTTTTGTTTGTTAAGCAAGGTAGATTACAAGCTAAGTGAAGCTAGAGTTAGTTAACAGTAGGTACACTCAGCAGATGGCATTCAGAGAGATATTGCAGCTGAGGTCTGACAGATGAGCCTAAACTGAGTGTGAAAAAATAAAAATAAAATAAAGATAACACATGAAAGTCCTATTTAGCATTGATCTGATAAGCAAAGTATAGCGCTGCCGAAAATCTAGATCTACACTGAAGAAAGACAGTGTTATTTATGAGAGGAGTGATAGCAGGTCATAGAAGATAAAGACAGGAGGCTTATGCTGCATAGATGGTATTATTTACGCTAAACAGTCAGGATCGATTGTCCACCGAGTTACCGCTCCGTACCAGTACACTGCTTGTAAGTGATAGTCCCCTCACCCCTGCACATCTCTATGCAAAATGTATACTGTATGTCTGGCTGACCGTGTAGCTGACCAAGAGAGAGCAGGGGGAGGACAGTCCTTAGCTGGAGTGATGAATGCTTGCTTGTGTAGGTATGCGTCGGCAGACACAGGTGGGGTGTCGCTGTTGATTCTGTGTGGAATCGTTCATGAGTCAGACTGAGCATTAGGCTGGAATCAGAAATGCCAAGTGCTAGGTTCCACTGAGTTCTCACCGGAGGGATCATGCTGTCTTCTGCATGGTGTTACTGAGCTGCTTATGCAGTAGGCTTGCTGTGTCTAGTGGCTCACCCTTCTCCAGCCCGATGTTGCTGTGAACGGAGGCTTGATGAGCGGGCTGGTCTGGTATACTCTACTCCGCCAGTTCAAGTCATTTTTTCAGCCAAGGCAACGGCAAGTGTGACTGCTAAAAAGCTAATATCTGAAATTGTGCCTGAGACAGTAGAGTCTGATCGAGGGACTCATTTTACTGGGCAAGTGTTTGTAGAAATAATGAAAGGGTTGCAGATTAACCAGCATCTACATATTCCTTACCATCCACAATCATCTGGGAAAGTAGAGAGAGCAAATGGTATTTTAAAAAATAAAATAGCTCAGCTCTGTGAGAAGACAAAGCTTACTTGGGTACAAGCCTTACCATTAGCCCTTTTTGCAGTAAGGTACATCCCAAAGGGAAAACATGGCCTTTCGCCATTTGAGATTTTGTTTGGCAGACCACCACTGACAGGCCTTTTTCTTTCCACAAGAATTACATGGACAGTATGCTTCTTTAACTGATTATGTTGTCCATCAGCACAAGCAACTGACTAAATTGCATGGAAAAGTTTTCTCTTCATTACCAGATCCAGAAGAAACAACCGGAACTCACCACCTGCATCCCGGAGACTGGGTCGTGATAGGGAGATACGTGAGGAAACATTTAGAGCCCCAATTTGATGGCCCATACCAGGTATTACTGACCACACACATCTCAGTCAAGGTGGAAGAGAAACCAAACTGGATACACGCTTCCCACTGTAAGCTAGTAGATTTCCAGGTTAGTGATAAAAACTTGTGTTCAAAGGGTGAGGCCACTGGGGACAAAAAGGATTAACAAACTGTCAAAATGCATGTACTGCCCTGCTTGTTTTTCTGTGTTTTATACCTTCACGCACAGGTGGACGGCGGGAAGCAGACAAATTCCATTTGGCTTCTACACCAACAAACTGCCAAGCAGCTGAATGCTACCGACTGCTGGATATGTTAGAAATTGCTGGTATAATCTCTCCACCTACAATATGTCTGGGGCCCATGTATGTGAATCGCATAGCAAAGATAAAAGGTCACTTTGCCAGTTTACCTAAGGTACATGTTGGGGAAACAGATTGTAAAAATGCTACATTAACATTTAACATGTAACCTAATGATACACCATGCGATATGGTAGATGCTGGTTGTAACAGCTTATGTTTTTGCCCAACATTGAAAGCTTTGTGTGCCCCCAGGTGTGCTTGCCCTGAACAAACAGACGTAGATGAGTGCAGCTGTAAAAGTCATGTGCACCACAATATGGTATGGTTTCAAAAGAGGCTGGGAAATCATGGTAAGATAATTCCCAGGGTCTTGAGACAAGGACTCGATTACATTTGTGGCAATAAGGCCTACTCATGGCTTCCGTTGGGAGCATGGGGTAACTGTACCATAGGAAGAGTTGTACCAGCCATTAGACCACACTCATATATCTCATTGTGTGAAATATACCAAAGGGGAACTAGGTATAAGCAAGAACTATTCTCATCTGCAGATAAAGCCTGGATGTGGTTCCCCACTTGGATGGGTTTGGGAGTCGAAGTAGCAAATAAGATAAATAAATATGCTAGTATCATGGATGGGTTTATCAATGAAACCACAAGTACTATCCATGCCCTGAATGAAGAGTTAGCCCAAGTCAAAAAAATTGCCCTTCAGATCAGAATGGCTCTCGATTATCTGCTAGCTATAGAAGGGGAAACTTGTGCTATCATAGGCTCAGAATGCTGTACTTGGGATGAGGACTCCCATGACCAATAGAGGCATACATGAACAAAGTAAAACAGTTGCAACAAAAAGTTAGAGATATATCCAAGGAAGGATGGAACCCCTTTTCCTGGATTGGATCTATTGGTGTTTAACAATATGCTTTCGAATGTCTTAAAACCCACAGTGGTGGTGATAGGATTGATTTTGATGTGCTTAATTACCTGGAAATTGTTAGTAATTTGTGTTTCTTGTTGCATCAAAAAGGTAGAAACTTTCATTGCTTAAGGATATGATACAACAGCCACAGAGATGACCGTCTGGTAGCCTAGCTCGACTAGCTGCCTCCTCTGCAGACCCTTTTGCAATTTTTGAGAGCCAGGTGGAAGACATCATCTCTCTGAGGGGAACCCAAAGTTGCACCACATCAGTTTTGGCATTGCATTTGTTTTAAATAGGGGTATCCAGTGTGTAGGATTTAGCCTAGGTCTGTGGTGGGGTGCATCTCTGGCTGCTGTTGTTATACATGTAGATAGAGATTGCATATTTGTGCTTGTGTGTTACCTATAAAGATGTGTGAATGAAGAAGTGGTCACCAAATAGGCAGCTCGGAATGGATGCCGGAATTCCACTGTCTATGCAGCTTATCTGTGTAGTCAGGGCCGGATTAACATAGGGGCTGATGGAGCTGCAGCTCCAGGCCCAGGCCCAGGCCCATGGAATAGGCCCATTTAAAAAAAAAAAAAAAACTTTTTTTTTTTTTTTTACACACTACTCTTAGGTTTGCCACCTGACTGGTATTTTAATGGCACAGACGATATTTGAGGCTGCCTGGCCCTGCCGGTATTGCAGTAATACCAGCAATACAAATGCAGGTAATTTTCTCAGAAAAAATGGAAATTACTCTGCAATACCTGCACCAGCCAGTAGGGGTCACTGTGTGTGGAGAGAGGCAGGGATAGGAAGTTACAAAATATCCCTGCCTCTCTCTACTACTCACTGATCCGTGGGGGAGCAGCTACACAGCACAGAGAGTCCAGACAGCAGCTCTAGAGCTCAGGTAAGTGAGGGATCGGGGGAAAGGCAGCAGGGACACATGGGGACACTGAGACACTAGGGGACACATGGGGACACTGAGACACTAGGGGACACATTGGGGACACAGACACTAGGGGACACAGACACTAGGGGACACATGATGACACATACACTAGGGGACACTGAGACACTAGGACACAGACACTGGAAGACCTGGGAACACTGAGACACTTGGGGACACTGAAAAACATGGGGACACTGAGACACTTGGGGACATATGGGAACACAGACACATGGGGACACAGACACTAGGGGACACATGGGGACACTGTCACTAGGGGACACTGAGACACTAGGACACATGGGGACACAGACACTGGGAGACCTGGGGACACTGAGACACTAGGGGACGCTGAGACACTAGGGGATGCTGAGACACATGGGGACGCTGAGACACATGGGGACGCTGAGACACATGGGGATGCTGAGAGACATAGGGACATTGGGAGACATTGGGACACGGAGACACTATGTCCCCCAGCCAGTGTCCCTAGTGTCTCAGTGTCCCCAAGTCTCCCAGTGTCTGTGTCCCATGTCTCTGTGTGCCTAGTGTCCCCATGTGTCCAAGTGTTCCCATGTCTATGTCCACAACTGTCACCATGTCTCCTCAAGTGTCTGTCTCCCAGCCAGTGTCCCCTAGTCTCCCAGTATCCCCTAGTCTCCCAGTGTCACCTAGTCTCCCAGTGTCTTAGTGTCCCCAAATGTTTCAGTGTCTCCATGTCTCCCAGTGTCCCTATATGTCCCAATGTCCACATGTCTATGTCCACAACTGTCCCCATGTCTCCCAGTGTCCCCAAGTGTCTGTCTCCCAGCCAGTGTCCCCTAGTCTCCCAGTGTCTGTGTTCCCATGTCTGTGTCCCTAGTGTCTTAGTGACCCCATGTCTCCCAGTGTCTGTGTCCCTAGTGTCTCAGTGTCCCCATTTCTTCCAGTTTCCCTAAATGTCTCAATGTCCCCGGGTCTCAGTGTCCCTGGGTTTCTCAGTGTCCCCAGTATCCTAGTGACATGGGGACACACTGAGACATTGGGACACTGGGAGAAATGGGGACACAGACACTGGGAGACTAGGGGACTGGGCGACAGGGGGACACTGACACTGTGATACATAAGGACACTGAGACACTGGGTGACTTGCGAGACTGAGACACTGGGAGACAGGGAGACACTGGGAGCAATCCATCTATACAGCAGAATCAAACTGTGAGTAGTTTGGTGATTTTATAGAATTTTCTCTGATGTCACTCCTTGTGATTTACATCATGTGATGTCACGCATAACCAATTAATTATACAAATTATTAAGGCTGGTACTTTTTTCCAAGAAAGGTGGCAACCTTAACTACTCTTCACATACTCTTGCTTAAAGGAGCACTATAGGGTCAGGAACACAATCATGTATTTCTGACCCTATTATGTTAAAACCACCACCCTGGCCCCTTCTTGCCTCCCTAAATATAGTAAAATATTACTTGTATTAAATTCTGCAGCTGCTGGCTCAGAAGTGGTGGTCTGTGCAAATTACAATATTTCCCCATAGGACTGGCTGAGACTGTCAACTAGGCAGGGGCAGAGCCAGCACAAGTCCAACATAGCCCTGGCCAATCAGCATCTCGTCATAAAGATAAATTGAATCAATGCATCTCTATGAGGAAAGTTCAGAGTCTGCATGCAGAGGGTGGAGACACTGAATGGCAGTGCTGCACACTAGGCAGTACTGCCCCAGGAAGCACCTCTAGCAGCCATCTAAGGAGCAGCCAGTGGAGTTATTTTCTCTGAAAAGACAGTGTTTACTGCAAAAAGCCTGAATGGAATGATTCTACTTACCAGAACAAATACAATAAGCTGTAGTTGTTCTGGTGACTATAGTGTCCCTTTACGTTTGGAAGGTTAAGAGGGATGTATGGGAACAAAACTTGTGTGCACTTGCTGACATTAAAGTTAGTTTAGGTAATGCAGATGTTGGTCTCTCTAACACTGTGGCATGTCCTCTTTCTTCTACACTCACTACAGACCTCTTTACTCTGTCTCAGACTATATACCAGGAACTTCTGCCTGCTAGTAAGAAGGTAAGGAGACAAGTGGACCAGCCAGTGCTAGGGGACAGTCTTTTGAAAGAATGGAGTGAGCGCATCATTAGATGCATTTATGTCAAGCTCAAGGTGCTGCCTGCATAGTATGCCCTTAGTTGGACAGCCTGTAGGATTGGCAGGCAGCCTGACATGCATTCATGCCAGGCTGACCTTCCAATTCTTTGGACAAACGTTCCCCTTTTTGGGCATTTTCACCCCTTTTGGCAGGTCTTGTCACGTGATTTGCGCCAGTGGCACACCCTTTTACCCCGCCCATTGACTTCCTGCTTCACTGGACATTGCTGTTAGGGGTTATGGATTTACTTGAAAGATGAAATCATAAATTAGAGAGGGATTAGCATAGAGTATGTGTTTTCTTATAGCTGCATCCTATGAGTTTCCCTCCAGCACCATCTCCATCAGATACATGAAGCTTTGGAGGTATGATTGTTTTAGTGTTTTTGGTCGATAAGATTCCGTAATTAGGCCCATCATAATTGTCAGCACCAGGCCCACTGTGCTCTTAATCCGGCCCTGTGTGTAGTCCGTGATAAAGGGGCTGTCTAGGGGGTCACTAGGCAGGCTGTTAGGCAGGCTGTTAGTCAAACGAGAAACGCAAGGTAATAAATATGTGTGATAATAAAATTATCATAAGGGTGAGAATTGTTAAAGAAAATATTAACTGCCCATATCTTGCCCTGTGCTTAATATCAAATTGATGCTTAAAAGCTGTATCAAACATAAGTTTTCTACTTTTTTCATCTATTCTGTTTGCGTGCACAAATTTACACTCAAATGCTAATTCAGCCACCCAAGTACTGCGAGTACGAGATAAAGAAACTTGGACTTGGAGAACTTGCAGAAACTTAGATTGGTCAAACCACATCATTGGGACATATTCAAAAAGTATAAAGACACTGTTTTATCTGATCGTGGTGCGCGCCAACTGAATTACTGTGAAAGTGCTAAAGCTGTCA